GGGCGTAGTAACCGCCACCGCCCCCGGCGCCACCGCCACCGCCGCCCGCCTCGCCTCTGCCGGAGCTGATGAGCGAGTCGACCAAAAAAGAGTTCGCGGCGGGGCTCTCCGAGCATGACATTGTTGTGGGATAATTTGGCGAAGGGAGCAGATAGCCCTTTCTGGCTGACATTTCTAGTGCAAAACATGCTGAATACGATTAGCAATCCCCCCGCACCGCCGCAGGCGCCCGCAGCCAATCCCGAGCCAGAGTTTCCGCGCGACCACTCCCAGTTTGGTTTCGTAGGCGCGGGGCCGCTCTCCGAGGGCGCCCTAGGACCCGCGATTGATATAAATATGTAATCTGTATTGATGAGCCAGGAGACTCACGCCCGACACCTCGGCCGAAGGCAGAAGAGCGGCAGGCTGCCCCAGCGTGGTTTGTGGGGGTCCTAGTGCCTGGGCTCGTCCATCTCCACTAGGTCGTGAGCCCTACTCCAGGGTCTGTTTGAAGCACCCTTGGGTCTGGCGCAGTTAACAAGTGGGGTGTTTATGGTGCACTCTCCGTCCTGCTGGGGTGCTCCCCATCCCTGTTTCAGAAGCTGCCACTAGTCCCCGACCTGCTCTGACAGCTAAAGGGGGCCTCATGTTCTCTCTATTCAGCTGTGAACCTGCAGCTGGTCCTATTTCTAAATTCTGGTTCCTAAAAGTAGAGGACCTGGCCCTAAGGTGTTGAGGCCCCTCAGAGTGCTCAGAACTCAGAGTGGACCGAAAGCTGGCGATTGTCACTGCTTCCAGCATCTCACAGAGAATTTACCGAAAATGCAATGGCTGTCCCCTGGCGCCTCAGCACCCAACACTCTCAGCTCCCAATCCGTTGATCCAGATAGCAGCCTCAGGTGTGCTCACCTGGCTCATCTTCTCTAAGACCTGTCAGAGGCTATTGGGCTCCAAGGACCCCCCCACACTGCAGGCCAGAGCCGGGACTGCCCCCACCCCCTGCTTTGCTGAGACTCCAAGCCCACAAGTCATTTAGGGGAAATGAAACGTTGGCTTACCTGGAGAGGGAGACCTGGAGGGGGGAAACTAAAAGGGGTGTGCCCAGCAGACACTTCTGCCCGGCTATTCTCCCACTCTCCTTTTAGCCTTGGCATTCATATGCTCCTGGAGGCTGACAAGGGCTAGTGTCACTCCACTCCTGCCTCTCTATCCCCTCCCCTTCTTTCCCCTCCCCTCCAAACCCCAGGCTGGGGGCTCTCCTTGCTCCTGTGGTGCCTGCGTTTTAACGAGGCCCCCGTGAGGAAATCCGTTCCCTTCAAGGCCGGGCTGGGCTCCTGGCCCTGTTATAAGAGTGTTTGGAGGTTGGGCCCTTAGCACAGCGGACAGGGTACACTACCCAGGGGCGCTCTTAGCCAACTGGAAATGTCTGGCTTGGAGCTCTAGCCTCCAGGTGTGGGCCTCACACAAGTCTCAGGGAATGTGACATTTTTTATCCCTCCTGGATCCAGGAGAGCCTGGAAGGTGGCTGCCCTGCCTCGGGTCTTCAGGATGTCCCAGGACTGCCCACCTCAACTAGCCGTACTTGGAGCTGGAGTAGCTAAGTTCCGGGATCCCAGAAAACAGACTGATCAGGCATCTCCGCCTGCTGCAAGGGAAGACTCTCGCATCCCTGCTTACCTCCCATGATCTCCTGAGCACTTGGCCTCATTTCATCCAGTATTAACCCAGTCCCAGGAGGAAGACAAGCCTGGCAGGACCCAGAGAGCAAAGGGGTTGCTAGTTAGGTAGAGCCGCTGGTGGCTCTGGCTTCTGACACTCAGGCCGCTGTGGTCGCTGCCAGCAGCCACAGCTGCTCCCTGCGCTCAGCTCTGCCAGGAGGTCTTGCCACTGTTAAAGCAGTTCTCTAGCCCCCACAGTGGCCCGTTTTGTGGACTGGGCTCCAGGGTGCTGGGGAGAGGGAGGGAGAGAGAGAGAAGGAGAGGAGGGAGAGGAAAATGAGAGGGAGAAAAAAGGGGAGAAAGCACAGGGGAGCCAGTTCCCTCCAGCCTGAAGCTACAGCAGCGGGACAGTAGAATCTAGATGAGGTCTGTGCGGAGAGATTATTAACCTTTCTTCACTGTTTCCATTCCTCTTACTCCCAAGCCCAAGGCAAGTTCTCATCTTGCCAGGCCTACAAAGTCAACAAACCAGAATGCAGAAAAATTTCAGAGCACCGCAGCCTAGAACCTTTAGCTTCCGGGATCTGTATGTTCTTTGCTCAGTTCATAGGCGGGTGGAACTGGCTGGGACCATTGCCCTCAGCAGTGCCACCTAGAAATGCTACAAAGCTGGGAATGGCTTGAGAACGAGGCTATGCTCCTCAGCACAGCCCACACCTTTGAAGAAAGATTTGTCAATGAGAAGTAGGTTCCAAGACCTACAAGGTTCCTCAGGAGACCGCTCCTAAGCCGCCAGTGGACAAGGTTCAGGCCTAGAAGCTATGCCTGTCTGTACTAAATGCAAGCAACTTCCAAGGCCTGAGGTCCGGGAAGGGCCAGTAGCCATTGGAGAGTATGTTTGCAATGGCGGGGGCTACAAAATTAAAATGCAAAACAATAATCTAAACTTGTCTTTCTTAGCCTTTTTGAGAGTCAAGACCCCTGGAAAATTTAAAGCATTTTGATCCCGCCTGTGAAAAAAATGCGTATCTGTGCATTCCCACAATTCGACCCCTCATTTTTAAAGAGTTCACAAACCCCTCAAAGCCTTTTTCCTTGGGCCCTCCAAGAGTCCTTTAGGATCTCCTGGGACTCAGCAGCCCTGCCAATTTGGCTGGTAAGACAAGCCGGGTGCCTGCTGCAGGCAGCTCAGGCAGTCCTGGTCAGAGCCCTGTAGAGCGGCCAAATGGGCTTCTTGGCTGGACTGGATCCAGGAGCGTGCACGTGCCAACCAAGGTTACAGAAGTCAGCCTGGTACTGCTACAAAAGGCAGCCGCGCTGCTGTGGAGTGGAGGAGCCGGAAGGCCTGCTAGGAGCCTTGTAGACATGGTGTTGGCACTTGGGTTTTCACCTACATTTATGGAGAGATAGATGTGTTTCTCGAGTGTTACTTTATAAACCCCCTTGAAATAAACTAAATTGGGATGTGAGATTTGAACTCTTTTTCTTTTCTCTTTCTTTCTTTTTTTTTTTTTTCTTCTTCTTTTTTTTAATTGTGTAAGACCTAAAGGGAGTCCCTCTCTGGCCCAGGACTGCTGCCTTATCCCCACTCGTACTTGCTGAGCAGAAAGCTGGGAAGAGCCTGTGGGTGCGCTCTGCTCCATGCTAGCGGGCCTGCTGCCGCAGCAGCTCAAACAAGAGGATACCGCAGCAGCTCAAACAAGAGGATACCGATGCAGCAGAAGCTCAAGTTAAACGCCACTTTCCTGTCTCCTTGGTCCTCTGTCTTGGCTGCAGCCCCCAACATCCTGGACTGGCCTCCAGGCTACCTACTCCCCAGACTGTAACACCACCACACCACCGAGGTGTTAGCTTCCTCAATAAAACATTTCATTTATCGATTGATCGAGGTTCCCCACCCGGAGAGAGATTAAGAAGAGCAATTCAATTGCAGCGTGAGGCAGTTTCTGGCTGCTCTCTCTCGCCTGTCTTCTTTCCCTTTCACCCTTCCTTTCTAGCTGCTGAATTTATCCCAGCCCTCAGAATGCCTTTGACCTAAAACCCTACCAGTTACATAGCCCCCACCAGAGCCACGTTTTACTTGGAAGCAAATATTGTGTATTTCTATCTGGGTGATAACACCCCTCACATCCCTCTTGGAGCTGAAGTAAACGCCAGGCCTGTGGAATAAGCCCTTTGGCAAAGATTACGCTGCAGTTCACTACTCTGTAGTTTCACTAGTCTGAGGAGTCCTCCTCCGGAGGAGTAGGCCCTCTCCGGGAAAGTGAAATAAATGTTTTTACCAAAAAAAAAAAAAGTTCCTTTAAAAATGCCAGGTCCTGAGATTGAGAGAGCCAGAAAACAATTTGTATCTGGTGGTTACTCTCAGTGCTTTGGAAGTTCCGAATTATCCAGAGGGCTATGGGGTTCGATTGTCCACAGCGAGCTACTTCCACGTATCCGTCTTAAACAAAAATTCAGAGCTTCTCCGATTCATGGGATTGCACACAGTTAGAAATATTTTTTTCCGTAAGCAATGGTATTCTTTTTTCACTTATCTTTAAGCATTACTAGGGATATTTGACATGTTTACTTTGAACTGATCAGGTGCAATCTATCCCTAAAAGACATACTTTGAAAAGTTTTCTAAATCCAAACATTGAGCCAGCCCTCAATCTAGGTGAGGGAAGTGTTGGAGCCTTTTTACAAACACTTTGAATTGTGATATTCTTAGTTTTCTTTATGATCAATCACCATGAAACTGGAGGTGGCTCTGGGATTGTAGGGAGGGTAGTGACTGCAGAAAACAGCTCGCTGGTGGGCTCGCTGTGGTTGCCTCGATTTGGCATAGTTTGGGAGTCCACGATCAACAAAGGCTAGTCACTCTGATAGGCAAAATTTACACTCAGACACACACAGGCCGCACCTCCATTCCCTAGGATTCGCCCCGTTCGCTCGTGCACAGTACATTTGGGACAAGAAAATGACTATTTAAAGAAATCAATGGAAAATATTGGAATAAAAATTTAAATATGGGAGGAAGAGGGAATTTGAATCTGATCTCCAAAGGTAAGTTAATTATGATGGTTTAAAATTTGTTTCGGGGAAATCCTGACAAAGTGATTGTTCCATCAGTGTTTATCCTGATGCCAGCTTTTGAAAAGATATAGGTATTTACCAATGCATTTTGCATATTTGCAAAACCATGCAGAACATCTCATTTTCACATCTAAGAAATTGTTGTAAAATCCTAGCTGGGTATATAGTGATACATTTCAAATATGCAACACAGAGACTTCTCAGGCGACCTCAAAAATCAAATTCGACTTCTCTGAATTGGCATTTTTGGAGCAAAGCTTTTGCCTTACTGCTGGACAGACCTAGAGACCGACTGCACCTAGTAAGAAACCAACGTCCTCGTCTGCCCCAGGGAATAAGCCCTCGCAGATGCCACGGACACCAACCACCCCATTGTTTCCAGCAGAAACTTTCTGTTTTCCCCTGTTCCGCCATCTCCCCCCCCCCCAAGATCCCTATTCCAGCACAGCTGGAACCCTATTGCCTGGACGCTTTCATCTCCCACGTACTCTATACTGAATATTTCTTCAAACTCGGAAGATCGGAACATCGCTTTGTATGAAATGCTGGCGCAGGGAGCTAAAATCAACAACTTTTCTACTCAGGCCTCCCCCTGCTTTTCAACCTTAGTGGGCGATGGCGGATAGTGGGGAGTGGCGAGTGTCTACCGCGTCACCCCAGAAACCCAACCATGGTCCCAAGCTCTGCTTAGACATCCGCCGCTTTCCCACTCCCGCCCCAGCCAGACTAAAATTGCTAAACTTGTGGCCTCTTACCTTGACACATTTCCGAAATCACTGCCAAGAGGCAGCTGGCTTCTCCATGAAGCGAGGCCCGCGAAGCCTAGGGAAGGCGCGTTGCTTTAAATTGCAACACCAACCACTTCTTGAAGGTGAGCCTCCTTTTTTAAATACGAAAGAGAGCGGGACAAGTGAAATAATGTACCGTGCTGCTCTTAGTATCAGAAGCGAACAAAGGCCAAGAATCACGCTGGGGTTCCCGGCTCCCCGGCGGCTTTGACATTGATCGGAAGTGCGCCATCTCGTGGCGGCTGCGTGCCTAGTCCGGGCCAGAGCTCCAGCCCGGAGCCTGAGAGAGCGAAGCAGCAGCTCCCGGCAGAGAGAGGGAGAGAGGGAGAGAGTGTGCCCAGCCCGCTGCTATTGAGATCTCATTTTTACATCTAAGAAATTGCTGCAAAACTCCAGCCGGGTTTATAGCGGCGCATTCCAAATATGCAAATTGGCCGGCCCAGGACGGGTTTACGACCACATTGTCACAGCCATCGGAGGATGGGCTTTTATAGGGCTCAGAAATCAAACCCGCGCCCGCCCGCCGCCCCCCCGCCCGCCAGCAGTCCTCCTGC